ACGACGGGCTGTCAAGTTGATCCAGGACAGCGACCAGGCCGACTGGCAGGTCTGCGCCGTGCATCTGGCGGCAGGAGCGGCGCAGAAGAGCGGATTCTTCCGACAGCCCGGCTCAGCAAACGGCGGTCGGCGGGACAGCCGACGCGGCGGACCGCGCCGGAGGGGCGGAACGCGCCGGTGCTTCAGGTGCGGCGACTCAGGGCACTTGAAGCGTGACTGCCCCGGATGCGGTCAGGTGACGTCTGTGGACGCCGTGACGTCCGTGGCGCAGCGGAGGACACAGCGTCAGGACCGGCTGCCACTGGTCACGGTGACAGTCAACGGCCGGCCAACAGAGATGATGGCAGACACCGGGTCGCCAGTCTCGATCGTGGCGGACGGCAGCATCCCGGGGCTGAAGCTGCGACCATCAACGGTGCAGCTGCGCTCGTTTACGGGCCAGACGGTGCCGGTCCGCGGCGAGGCGACCGTAGAGGCGGAGTTCGGCGGCCAGCGGAGGCGGCTGAATGTCGTAGTCAGCGACCGACTCGGACACCAACCGCTGATAGGACGGGACTGGTTGCGCCACATGCGCCTCGACTGGCGGTCGCTGCTTCAGGGCAGCGAGGACCGTGGAGTGAGAGACGCCGACAGAGTCAGAGGGCGCCGTGACACTAAAGGAGCCGGTGGGCGCCGGGATGCCGATGCTGCAGGAGCCGGCGGGCGCCAGGACGCCGATGGAGCCGGCGGACGCCGGGACGCCGATGGAGCCGGCGGGCGCCGGGGCGCCGATGGAGCCGGCGGGCGCCGGGGCGCCGGCGGAGGGAGCGGACACCGGTACGCCGGCGGGAGCAGCGGGCGCCGGGACGTCGGCGGAGGCGGCGGTGCCGGGCGGCGCGTCGGAGACGCTCGTGCCAGAAGCTTCGGTGGCGGAGACGGGATCGGCAGTGTCAGAGCGGCGACCGTCGGCGACGTCCGACGAGCAGGGTTCAGCGACGGGTACACCGGCGGCGGCGTCAAACGGCCCGTCGGCGATGATCGCGCCGATGGCCGCGGTGACGGCGGCCGCGCCGGCAGTGCCAGCGACCTCATCGGAGGGTGTATCAGTGGCGTTGACCTCAGTGGAGGTCGTGTCGGTGCCGGTGACAGCGGAGGTGACCTCAGTGGTGCACTCGGTGACGGCGGCAACGGCGGCGTCAGCCACGCCGATAACCTCGGCGACGGTCGTGCCGGTTACCCCAGCGGAGGCGACGGTCAGGTGGGTGACCTCAGTGATGCCGTGGGTGACCGCGGTGGCGGCGGCGCTAGCGACGCCGGTGACCCCGGCGGCGGCGGCGGCGGCTGCGCCGGTGAGGTCAGTGTGGTCAGTGTGGTGGGACCTCTTGAGCGTGAGCGCGGCGCGCACACTGAGGGCGACCCGCAGTGCCGTTCCGCCCGGCGTCGGAGGCGCCCGGGGCGGCTTATCGGCGTCTGATCGCCGATATTTGAAATGTTATTGGATCTGTGATTGTGATTGTGATTGTGATTGAAAGGTGATTGTTTCACGTAAAGGGGTGAGGTAACCCTGAAGGCGCGCGCCTAAACAAATGATGCTTTGTGCTCATGCCATTGTTTCGTGCGCCTGGGAATATGTTCGTTTAAAGGGCGGCAGGGTGTGGTATCGCGAATTGTCCCCCTCCGCCCGGAGCTGGCGACGCCACTGGCGGCGCCGGCACGCAGACGCGGCGGCTCGAGAGAGTCGGTCTGGCGCGCGTGTCGGGTGCGGTCATGCGCCGTGTGTGCCGTGTGGGGTGGTCGTCGCGTCGCGGTCAGCACAGACTAGTGTTCGTGTATGAGCCCAGATTGCCTCAGCAATAAACTTGTCTCCACGAGCCAGCCTGTGTGAGGCAGTGCGGAGTGGAGACGTAATAATGTCCCTAGTGTCCCTAGTGGTGGTGACGCCCATGGGTTCTCGAGATCTTAGGGGGGGCCAAATTGCCCTCCCCCCCCCAGCAGGGCGCGTTGGTCGGCAGACCCCAGCGGGGCGCGGGTTAAAACACCGTGGATGGGTACACCTTTACAATATGGAACAATTGGTATACCTTCCTACGACAAAGCCTTTCGCGGTCAGGTCATGACCTTGACTATACATTGTATTTCCGTACACAGTTATTATTTTTTTAAAGGTCAGTTTGTTCTCCATTCGACGCGTCTCTTCGAGAAAAACACGATTCGATAAGACAAACTTTACACACTACACCGCTTACAATGGCTTATGTGACTAAAGTTACGTTAGAAAGCATTTTCAGCAAAAGCATCAATTACAAAATTGTGTGAAGGCCAACCCTTGAACTAACATCAAATCGGATAATATTTCCAGAATGAACAATTAGGAGAGCTATCCATTGCGTTTTTCCGCGATGCCCTAGCTTTAGGTATTGGTTCCTGACACTGGCGGTCGCAGCCGCTAGCAAAAGGGGGGGCCAAAGTCACACTCGCGGGACATAACATTTATCCGTCACCGGGGGGGGGGGGGTGATTTTTGATGTGATGTGATTTTTGGTGATCGGCTAATTTTTTACGTCCACGAGATGCCGCGCAGTTGGCATTACTTATGCTTCATCCATCTGATTCTTGCGTGAAATATTTAAGCTCAATTTAAGGCAAAATCACCAGTTCCATTTCCCGTCCCACGGTGCTTCCACCGGTCGGCCCACTGCACCATGACGACGGATCGGTGTAGCATAGGTATACTGGAAGGTCAGGCACGCGGATTCATGACCTTACCACTATAAAACAATTCGGAAAAGTACAGATACCTCTTGCTTTGAACAAGCATGTGAAACCCAGAGAGCATTTTCAGACTATGACATTTACCTACCCATATAGGTAACATACCTAGTTGTGTGGCGGCGGGAGAGAGGAGTAGGTAAACCGACCTCTGGAGACCCCCCACAGGTTCCGAGCTTTCAAAATTGGCATCTGAGGGCCGCGCGCGACTCCTGCGGGGCTTCGCAACGGCTCTATTGGGGCTCACTCAACCTGCCTAGTCTTATCTTACTGCTAAAAAGACTGGCCCTGAGCCCTAAGGACTTCATCAGTCTCTGCCAGCCCCAGGACCCACACCGGCTCATGGGGTCCCGACGTCGGAATATGAGGGAACCTGCGCGGGACCATCAGGACGTAAAGTAATTTCGATCAGGACCAACGTAAGGCTGTGCCGGAGACTGCGTGAGCCGTGAGCCCTCTGATCTTCAGAAGCCCACCCATGTATCTTTTCACGTAGAGGCCAGTTTAGGGCCCTCAGAGACCAGTACAGAGCCTGCAAACTACAAAGGCCAGTAGTTTGAGACAATCAGTGACCGAGTTGGGCTCTCAGAGGCTAATGTGGGTCATTACAGGCCAACATGGGCCCTCAGAGGTCAGCGTGGGGCCCTAAAAGACCGGCATGAGCCGTCGTTGGACCCCAGAGGCCAGCAGAGGGCCCTCAAAGGCCAAGATGGGCCGGGGGGCCCTCCTCAGAGGCCAATGCAGGCCCTTAGAGGCCGGCGTCGGGTCTTCAGCAGCCAGTGCGGGGCCCTCATTGGCACCTAAAGGTTCGTCTTGGGACACCACAGACAGAAATAAGGCCACCAGAGACCGGTGTGAGACCCTCAGACGCCGGTTGGGACCCCTGAGGCCGGTCAGGGGCCCTCATAGGCCAGATGTGGGGTCTCAGAGGTTGATGTAGGCTCTTAGCGGCCAACGTGGGCGCTTGACCACCACTGAAGTTCCCTCAGAGGTCAGTGTAGGACGCTCAAAGACCGGTGTGGGAGCTATATTAATAGCTGGGCGTGGGTTTTTTTTTAGCCTCGTGACGATCGAATAATTGCCAGGGCCCCATACACCTATATGGGGGCCCATTGGTTGTTTGAGGGGGGGGGGGGCAAATGATATGATGGCCCCCTTTATTGACCTTTGGGGGGCATGGCCCTGATGCCCCCCCCCCCGCGACCGCCACTGTGTACACATTACACACATATGCCTCTGAGATAACATACTAGCTCATGCAAACTCTATGCAGGCCCCGGAGTTCCCACGCTAATCCTTAAGAAACCAAGCCGGCATACGGCGTCACCACCGGGCTTCTGAGGTACACAGCACCAACCCATGAGGTCTTACTTTAGTGTCGTAGAGCTAATCTCCTTTAGCAGGGCCCACCCACCACTGCCGAAGAGGGTCTCATGCCAGCCATTGCTGGGCCTACGAGAGCCTCAAGTAAACCCACGCTGATATTCCATATAAGATCCGGCCATACTCGTGAACCGGTGCCAGCGACGCTGACCGCCAAATTGACAGAATGCGAAACTGAGCCCACTCATGGGTGAAATTTACGTCCTTTGATGGCGCAAGAAAGAAAATGAAACATACGAAAAGCTTTTCTAGGACTTTTGTTCGATCTGAAAGGTGGGGCCAAAAGATAGTATGGCCCCACCTTTCAGCACCAAAGGGGGGGGCATGGCCCCCGTGGCCCCCCCCCCCCCCCTGGGACCGCCAGTGGTTCCTGAATTATGAGCCGATTTGTCGTAAAGTGTCGAAATAGGCCACATGGGACTGCGACCTTTGATGACCTCTGGTAACCTGACCTTTGACCGTTGACCTGATGAGCAATGAACTGACGGGGGATAAAAATACTTTGTTGTTTGTTCACTTATCACGAAAATGAAATATATACGTAGATAGAAGATATTTCCAACAGCCGTATGCCTCTTTGAGCTCTTGCGAGGTGGCGTTGACCTTTCCTGTCATGAGAGAAACCAAGGTCGCCATCAGTAAGGTATTTCTCTATCACCGAGACACTCGATCAAATGTCATTGGACGGCCGGGACCCAGATGTGCCAGCTCTCGCATCAGACGGCATCTCTGGGGCAGTGTGGCCAGGTAAACAGCAATTAGGAGCGGCACTGGCCGGGAGCGGCGGCCCGGCGACCTTCGGTGGCTCATGGCCCAGCGGAGATGAGCGGGCAGGGGCGGGGGCGGGGGCGGGGCGGCGGGGCACTCACCTCGCCGGCGCGTCGGCACGCACAGGTGTGTGACCTTGAGCTGCGGCGTGTCGGGGTCCGAGTACATCGCCGAGGGGCACTGAACCTGTGCTGGCAGCTGCACCTCTCCCCGGCCCACTGCAGGCACAGACGGCGTGTCAGAGGCAGGCACCATGAGCATTGACATGAATTCAGAGCTGTGAGGCTCCGGTACAAACTTCACCTGGTCGAAATACGGGCGTTTCGCCTCAGTTGAAGCGGTAATTACGGAGCGAGCGAAGCGAGCGGAGTCTTTCCTTAGATTAACGGAAATTTCTGAGTATGAGCGGCCGGCCGTGCGGACGCTTTTGCGAGGCTTATATCCCAGCAACCACTTGACCGATTTACGTGCGGTAATTTTTGTAAGGTAGCTTCATTCCTTCTACCAAGTATTGGACTATTCCCGATGCATGTGGGTGACCCCTTATGCACGTGCCACGTGCAAAACGAAGAGGTGTCAGTTTTGTAATTGTTGCAATATCTCGGTAACTACTTGGCCGATTGCGCTGAAAGTTGGCATGTAGGTAGGCACCCACTAGGCACTGCATAGGGGAAGGAGGGTGAATTGCGCCACCTTAAGGAAAAACGCTAATTGTAAGAAAACCGCTGGAGATATAAGCATGCAGTGGTAACCATTTCAAAGAGGAGCTCATTGGCTACGATTTAAAGGGACCCTCCCACCTTCGAAAAAGTTTATGAATTGGCATGAAAGTGATGTCGCTCGGTTCAGAAAGAGCGAAAACGAATATCTACCAAATTTCACCGAAAAACATTCACCGGTTTTCAAGATATTAGACTTTTACTTTTGTTTACTTTTTTGGGATCTCCGCTGTTTCTAGCGACTTTATTTTAAAAGTGCGGCGTTTGCGGCAGATGTTGCGCGCAAATAGCATATACCACCGCGTGCTACAAAACGTTTTAGTCAAACATTTAAAAATCGTTAGATATTTGCGCTGACGTCACACATTCAGAGGGGTATTCCTAAGCATTAGCCCCTCTGAATCAAAATGCTGCAATTTTGAAATTCAATATTTCCGATTTAAGGCATTTCTCGATGTTGTGAGTGCCGAAACCGGTAATTGTGAGCCAGGGACCCCATTTTGGCTATCTCACCTCAAATCTAATGTTAAGGTGGGATGGTCCCTTTAAGAGCCTATTGATCAATTAAGAATGTTTTGTTTGCTTCTGACAGCTGCTTTTTCAGAAACATGCAAAAGGGCGCAATTGCCAACAACTGCTGTAAATTGCGCCAGGGGGATGGCGCAATTAGAACCCAAATGTGCCCTATACTTTAACATGGCTAAGTGAATGAGACGGAATACATACACCCCGGCAGTCTAATGTCATTGCGGCTTACTTAAACATTTATAATGTTATTCAGGCTGGATAAATAATAAAGGTAGATATAAATCGCGATGTTTTTTGCCCAGGTAGATAACTTCACCTGTGTCCGTACGCTTGTAAAAGTGCAACAAAAACGTTTACTGTAACAGACTAAATATATGTAAACGTATGCGCCTATACAGTTAAATTTTCAATCGTTTCTCTCAAAATTAAGAATTTTTATCGTTTTGACAACTTAATGACATCAGTTTTTACTTTTTATCATAGCTGTCACTTCTCACGCCTGAGTCCATGTTGAAAATGTCGTATTTTGTCAATTACACCACAAGTCGTAGCCTAAATGGCAGCTGCATTATAAGTTTGACGATAGAAATAATTTGCGGACTGACGACGGCGGGCTGCTCCCTTGCCTGACATTAAACTCCTTCTTTATTGCAATCAGTTAATGATGCATTCATACTGTAGTGATACAATGGCTACACCATTATCCTATTTGCGCCCCCCTGGCGCAATTGCCATGGGCGCAATTAAAATTGAGGTACTTTTTAATAAAAGCATAGAAGTTATCATAAAGATTTTGCAGAAAGTTTACGGTTTCAGTGAAGTTCAATGAAAAAAGGGGTTTTCTTTCTAAATATCACTCTGAAAATCACACAAATATCGCAAATTTTTATAGCCAACAGTTCAAAATACTGCAAAAAAGTTAAGAAAACGCCATAACATCTTTGATGGCGTAATGAGCCTTGCTGATTGGCTTCATCGGAGTGTTTGGGCCATAAAATGATCAATGCAGTGGTGAAAATCATGTTTTCGAACACAAAATTCTAAACATGCCATTGAATCCGTGGGAATGTTGGTGGGCGCAATTGGTTAGGAGGGCGCAATACACCCACTTTCCCCTATCCATGTGCCAGAGTTGGGGTGCTGCTGCACGTGCGCACGTGCAGGGGTCGATTCCAGATCTCGAGAACGGCTGGACCGATTGCGCTAAAATTTGGTACGCGGTTAGGGACCGGTTAGTAGGGTGCCGTGCAAAAGTCAGTTGGGACCCATGTTGCACGTGCGCACGTGCAGGGTGCCGCTTCCAGATCTCGAGAACGGCTGGGCCGATTGTGTCCAAATTTGGCACATCGCTAGAGACCGGTTAGTAGGGTGCAGTGCACAAGTCAGTTGGAGGTACCCCCTCGAAATTTCGCACGTGCAAGGCCCACCCTCTCGCTCGCTCCGTTAGTCGCCCCAAAAGGCGTTATACTGGTTTTATTCATTTTAGGTTTCATTTCACTAATGGCATAATCTTACTAACCAAAAAGGTTTGCAACAATGACATGAAACCAGAGACGGTTGGAAGATGCGAGGCACGTTTCGTGCGGGGTACCGTTAACACAGAACCATAATCAAAACACAAATTAGCTCGAAGTCGGCTGCTGTTGAACTTTACTCATACAGTATCTGTTTGTAAATGGAGTGAAGTAAGAATAAGCAATCACTCGAAGATTAATTCATAACATTATTTACATTCGTACATGGAAGGACAGAATATGGGACACAAATGATATTAGAATTACTGAACGAGTGATTTCAATTTGTTCCGGTTGCATATAGCCTGTTGCCGTGCTTTCGAAGCAGGTTCCAGGTTGTGCGGCGCCGGGCTCCCTGTCTTACCGAAGGCGGCGCAGGGAGGCGGTAGCAACATCGTCACCGTCACTGCGCAGAGCGCGCCTGCTGCTGCCGCTGACACCATGGCGCTGACCTGACTGAGCCGCCGCGGCCACCCCGGGCAGTCGACCGACAAATGACCCCACCCCCCCCCCCCCCGCCGGCAGTGACGGGCCCCGTCACCCGAGTACACACGGGACAGGGAGGGGCGGGGCTCAGGGCGGGACCGGCGCTCCCGAGTACACACGGGACAGGCAGGGGCGTGGGACAGGGCGGGACCGGCGCTCGTTAGTCGGGGTCGCTGGAGGGTGATTTATCTGAATCAGGACACGGCCTGCCGGTCCAGCCCCGCCCGTCCGCACACACCACTGCACCCCTGGGGTGGGTCGGTGGGGTCGGTGGGGGCACGGCAGATGACAGCCACCGGACCATAACGGAGTCATGACCCGCCCGCCGGGTCACTGTCCCCTGCAGGGGACACACAGGAGCGGAACAAATGGTCATAAACACGATACGGCATTTCTGCGCTTTTAACCCTCGCCCGCACATGGGTGGTGGTGGTTGCCACCCCCCCCCCCCCCCCCCCAGGTAGTCTTTCTTCTCTGCACTCAACATTTTTAAAGCTAGAAGGCTGATTTTTCGTATAGCTGCTCGTCTATCCTTTCTTGATGTTCACTGAAAATTTCAAGTTTCTGTGATTTTTGGTTTCGGAGATATGACCTTGTTTTTCAGGTCATGTCATGACCCAAATGGCCAATTCTCAACATCTTGCGTTTGCCATGGGCCTTGTGAGTTTTTGACACCCTGATTTCGGCCTTTTTTGCCAGTCTTACTTCCCACCTATCATGGAACATGTTGTTCGACGATGTACAGGGGTCAAGGTCAGGGTCAAGGTCAACCTAGGTCATCTAAGATAATTGCGTTTTAGGCAAGCTGAATTTACTTTTTGTGAAGTTTTTTGACTGCATTTTTGGTAAAAGCTTCTCAGATCATGATTTCATGTAATATGGACCCAAAAACAATCGGTGCACACATCAGTATACACACAGACACACACAGACATACAAACACATATAATTGACCTTGACCTAACTTGACCTGAAATGACCTCAGCAGCACATTTCTGGTTGGGTAGTGTGACAAAGAGGTTCTAGCTGGCTTGGCACCAGAAAACAGCATAGTCATCGGTATTTGATAAGCAGCGCACTTGATATCCAACGGTGACCCAAAAACTGCAACATTTTTTAGTTTGACCTGACCTGGAAGGTCAATGACTGACCTGAGAAGGTAAAACTGGGTATCATTGGACTGGTCTCTTCCCAAAGAATCTTTTTGGTCGTTACCGCTAAGCTCTATCTCCAACAGGAACGAAATGGCGCGGGGGGTGGCAACCACCCCCCCCCCCATGTGCGTTCTAGCCCTCGCCCTGGCAGGGGGGGTCGATGCGACCCCCCCCCCCCCCTAAGGTTTTTCGAAGATAGCGTAAAAGCGCCGCCAAATTTGGCACAGCCTATGGGGCAACCTTTTTACATATGACCTGCAAATTTCAGGTCCGGGTGACCTTGGGTCAGGTCACCAGGTCAGAAAAACCGGTACAAGGTCATGGTCAAATTTCAATTTTCTTTATGCACCTGTCCAACTCACAGTTTTCGACTGATTTCCTTCAAACTTTCAGGATGTGCTAAGTTCACCGAGTTGTATAACATATAGTCCGGTTTTTTTGAGGTCACAGACCTGAGGTCAGTTAGAGGTCATTACGTCGTAATGTTAAGCCTATGGGAAAATACTAAATTCGGAAAATACTGGAGATATCCGCTTCGTTTTATCACTTTTGTGCTTTGAAACCACGGTACTTAACAGCAGGACACTTGGTGCTTCTTTGTTTGGTGTACTTATCCATGGGTCAGGTCAAATGAGGTCAACTGAGGTCAAATGACGTTTTTGCCAATAACTTGGCACATAATGACGCTAGAGCTTAAAAAATGGTATCATTGTGTTCCTGGTGATCAGCCAAATCAAATGATATGCGATATGATGCAATTTGGTTAAGTTGAACTTAATTTATTAATTTAAGTTTACTTAAAATTTTAGAAAAACTTTAAGTACACTTGAGCAAGCTAAAAAGTATATCATTTGACGCGCCTTGACGTGCTGAGTTCACTGGTGCTTTTCTTTTTGCTCTATCTTAATTAGATCAAAAGTTATAGGCGAAAAACTTTTGACCTGTTTTTAGCGAAATTTTTACATTTATACCCCCCAAAACCCCCCTAAATATTGACATAGAGCAACCAAATTTGCACAGGGGCGAGAACTCCGGAGGGCCCACCTACCTACCAAATTTGGTGTTTCTAGGTGCCATAGGAGCCAATCGCGAGGGGGGGTCGCATCGACCCCCCCTGCCAGGCCGTGTTATGAAAAATGCCCTGCCAGGGCGAGGGCTAGGATGGGAAAACGGCATGTGCGGGCGAGGGTTAATTTCATTTATGGCGCATTGTAAAGTAATGTCCCCATTATGTGCTGGTGGAAAGTTGCAGTTTGTTAAATAAAACCGATAAGATTAAGTCATTTACCTATGGCTTAGACGCCAACGCGCTCAATTTAAAGTTAATTAACATAATACTTATCTTGAAAATATCTCGATATTTTCAAAGCCTTGGCCGTGGCTCAAGCCACCTCATTGTAATGACAACATACCTATGATATGATATAACCGAGAGCGCTATGCAGCTTTTCATAGTTTTAAAAGTATGTGCAATATAAATATCGCGTTGAATGCATTTAGGATGAAGGAACCCCACCCCCCTTAGTGATGGGGCAAAATGGCATGTGGAAGGAGAAGTGAATAAAAAACCTCAGTTTTTACTCACCTTTGGTCCTGCTCGTCCCATTCTGACCGAAGTTGACATCGAGAGCGAGGCATCTCTTGCTGGTCAGATAAAATGAACAAAGGAAAATTTCCAGATCGTCAACCCGGCCGGGCCCGGGGGTAACTCCAAACACCACAGCCGGGGAGGGGCATTATTTACCCCCCCCCCTCCCCCTCCCTGTCTTATTCCGAAAATATAGGAGCCATGGAAACAAAAAACGCTACCAAACGAAAAGCCTTTACGAGACAATTTTAAAGCACCTAAAATTGTTGACCTCAGGTCAATTTTCAAGGTCAGAGGTCAAGGTCAAAGGCAAAAACCCGTCCCGTGTGTAGTGATCTCAGACTAAGTGTGCCAGAGGAGGAGGACGGCAGGATGTACGAAACACGTTAAAACTGATGGGAAAGGACAGAAGAGAATATAAGGAATCCGTTGATGTGTTTAAATTTCAAGGTCAAGGTCATTCTCAAAATCGACCTCAAGCGTATCAAGCGTAAGCTTTTAAGTGTATCTTTTACATTTATATGGGCGAGGATGGATGACATGATTATTATTAATATAACGAGGCTTGAAATGATCTCACGCATGTCAAAGTGTTTTTATTTTAGGCAAAATAAATATTCGGCATGCCGAAAGCTTGTTTTACTGTTTTAGATATTTATTTTGCCTAAAATAAAAACACTTTGACATGCGTGAGATCATTTCAAGCCTCTTTTACATTCAGTTCCAAAATGTTTTGAAATATTTTGAAGATTGTTGGGGGTTTCTCCCCACAGGGACGATGGCTTTGTTTGTATCATCCGTATTCACCTCCAGATGGATTACCAAGGTCATGGTTTGTTGCATTCAACAAACATTGCATTCAAAACGACACCGGCCGCCGGCCGGTGTCGGCGCGGCCTGGTGAGAGTGACGCTGTCGATGGGGTGGGGGCTGAGGCCGCCCTCCCCAGAGCGGTGAGCGTGCCACCGCACCGGCACAGAGCGCTCACTGCCCACCGTGACGGCCGGCTGGGCACGGCTCGGCACCGCGAGCACGTCACTTGTCGCCGCCGCTGCGCCGCCTCACGCCTCACACTACAGACGAGAGCGTGAGGTAATGACCGGGAACACCCACACACAACCCTGTTGACACTTTCAACTCGAAGGCGTTTTCCACTTCTTAGCGTGAAAAACGCTTGAACCCACTTTCCAAACAACTGCAACAATGCTCTTGTGTGGGATCCATGGTAGGAACTAGGAAGTTCAAAGAGCCTTAAACTCGCGCTGCGCCCGGGCGGGGTCCTAGCCAACTTTACCGTGGTGTGAGAAGTCCAAAGACATTTTTGGCAACACCCCATTAGGCCATTATCCAAAAACTACTAAGAGAGCTGGATAGACATGAAAATGTAGCTGATAGATTGCAACATGTACTTTCAGAACCAAAAGGTCATTTTTCCCAGTTCAATGCTTATTGGAGGTCATGAAACGTTTTTAAAAAGCTGTAAAAAATTTTCCTGTTCTACAATATTGTTACAACTCGGCGAAAAGCTCGTGAACCAGTAGAGCAATAGCGTCGCGGGTATCACCTCCGATAGCTCTTCAAGCTCTTACTAACATGACCTTTTTTTGACACCATGTCAGCCCTTTGGCCTACAGAGCGCAAAACCGTCAAAGTAAATGCCTTTTGCGTGCAGTTTTGCTACAACGACCTTTTTATGTTACCGCCATCATGTTTCTGTCGTCGAGACGCGCGTCGAGTGAGCTATGAATTGAGCTTGAAGTTTGACCTTATATCAAGGCCACGCCCTGACCGAAGGTCATGTTACATATGAACGGATTTGTTTTGTTGAGCTGAATACATTCCATGTGCTTCCATCGCTCTACTATCTATCCGTCAAAAGTTGTAACCAAAAAATGTCGTTGTCTAACCTAAATTAAAGGACCCGCTGACTACTAGTTGCGCTCTTTCCATTAGAGCACTTCACGGATAGGCTTTTTAGGATCCGGCCCGGCCCATATCCGCCAAGTCATATCCAGATCCGCCCATTATCCGCCTTTCTTTGAATATCAGAATCCGGCCCACCCATGGCCCGTATTGCAGCCCAAACTTCCATAAAATATCCGTAATAATCCGTTTCACCAATAACTGGTTTCACCCAAAACTGGACTAACGAATTCAATCTAAGGGACCAGACAGCCATACATCTCATAGACCATCATGGTTCCAAAAACCATGCATACATTGCATACATTATCCACTTGAAGACAA